CCCCCCCCGCACTTTCTTTGTTGAATAAGGAGCTGAGGCAGCATTTTCTTGCCCAGTTTAGCAAGGCCTGGGAAAGACCAGTCAATTATGTCTAAGACCATTTTGCTATCCCCAAAGGTTCCCCCTTGCCCAAATCTACTCTGTTGCTCACCTTCCCTGGTATTTTAAACAGAGCTACTCTCCCATTCCAACTCAGAGTTAAGCATATGTGAATATACTGAAAATTAAACAGGGAAAATTAACTGAACTTCTGGGACCCTTTAAGGCCTAGAATACCAGTAGAAATCATCTCATGAGGTCCAGAGTAGAGTTCATGTTTCTCTGAAACCAAGGCCAAGTGTATGAGATTTCCATAGCCAAGGAGGCAGGGGGACTCGCTGGAACCATCTATGGTCTTGGGGGAAGGATCTAGATACAGGTGGCTTTGGGGTAACAGCTATGATCACTGATCAGTAAATTATCTCTGGATTGCTCCTTTCGAGAGGAGTTTTAAAAAAGTCTAGTACATAGTGATTTTGATCAGCACATCTAGGAACACCATGGTAAATATCTACAGGAACAAAATCTCTGCCTCCAGGAGGGTATTCAGCTTCTGTCTCTTGTCTTCCTCAGCATCCTGGTTCTGCTTTCCTAAGAGGGAGTAGGGATAGAAAGCCAGGGCAGTGTGGGGAGAGGAAAGGAAGACAGTGGTGGTGTCAGAGGGAGTGAGGCATCTCCTTGTTGCCCACAAACCAAATCCATGGCCTGGCCTCTGGACAGGTGAGCTCCCTGCTCCACCAAGTTGATCTCCTAGTCTTGTCCTTAACCATTCCAAGTACTCTGCTGATCCCCTGCTAATCAAAGTTTTAACTCTTCCCCTGTCCTTTAAGTGACTGCTCTAGTGGCTCTGGGTCTCACTGGTCTCTTAGTCACCACATTGTCTCAGGAGTTGCCCACTTGGTACGTGTTACATGCTGCCTGAGTCACATGTACATCTTATCTCTGCCTGTAGTTCTGTAAGCTCCTAGAGCAGTGGTTCTCATGACCACTCAGTCACGACCCACAGGAACTGTATTAAAGGGTCATGACATTAGGAAGGTTGAGAACCACTGTCCTAGAGGGAGGACACCATATCTTGTATTCTTCATGACACCTAGTGCAGTGCTGAGCACAGAGTAGGTGCTCAATAAAGACTTGTTGAATGAATAGCCTGGAGATAGATGTGTGTGTATATATATAACTCAGATGTAACTAGACCTTCTCAACTGGATACAAAGAGGTTCCATTGATAGCAGTAGCCTAGGATTTTTCTTCTGCATATATGTCTAGAACTCGGCTTTCTGTCTTCTGTTTACACACATGCTGTCATTTCTGGAAGTCCCCAAAAAGAGCCTCCCATGGGACACAGACCAGCCATTGTGTGGCTTTACCTTCTTTCTCCTGCAGTGGTGCCCCTGAGCTGAGGTCCTGCATCTTAGAGCATATGATGAGCCTCCTTGACAGGGGTGATGTCCAGCATGGCACACCTAAAATCCTACCTCACAAAATGAGCAGTGTCCCAAAGGAAATAAAATCTACAAAGATTCAGTCTTGCCTACTAACATGTCAACTGTTTAACCATTTCTTGTCCTGATATTTCAAAATTACCATTTTAAAGATGGAAAAGGAATATTGTATAAAACTGCCTCTAAGCTTGTGCTAGAAGCAAAGAACATATTTCCTCCGTGTACTCTCATTTGTGGACTCATCTAAGGTCTGTATTTTTTATATTCATATGTTTTAGTTTTTTAATGAACTATACTTGCACATATAGGCAATTATTTCTACAAAGCTTATTATAAAAAAACATTTCTGGCTTGGTGCCTCTAGCTCAGTTAGGGCACTGGCCACATACACCGGGGCTGGCAGGTTAGAACCCGGCCTGGGCCAGCTGAACAACAATGATAACTGTAGCAAGAAAATGGCCAGGCATTGTGGTGGGTGCCTGTAGTCCCAGCTACTTGGGAGGCTGAGGCAAGAGACTTGCTTAGGCCCGAGAGTTGGAGGTTGTTGTGTGCTGTGACGCCACAGCACTGTACTGAGGGCAACATAGTGAGACTCTGTCTCAAAAACAAAAACAAAAACAAAAACATTTCCCTGTCCCATTTTTCATCCTTTTTGGTAGGCTATTTTGGTGTTCACCTTTATTTTTTCTAAATAGTTTGCGTTTGGGGCCTTATCCTCTGATTTCCTGCTGTGGAGAAAGAAGGTTTAGCCCTCTGCTGTCTGTCCCTTAGCATACACTCACAAAAGACTCTCTTTCCTGTCTTCATCCTTGCAATGTGGTCCTAACATTAAGTAAGTATTCAGTATGGTTATTACTATGTATGTAAAAGATGGCTACACCTGGGTATGCATGTGGTCATGATTATTTTTTCTTTCTGCATGTTTTCCATGGAGTTAATAATTGCCTCCCTCCCATTTTGTTTCATTTCCTATATCCTAAACTTTTTAGCAGTTGTCCATAATCTCAAGATGTTAAGTCACCAAGTAGTGTTACCAATTTTGTCTTAACGTTTAATCTCTTCTGAAATCCAACCATAAATCTGGAATGGCTGCTGCTTCACCTGAGCATAGCTTCCTAGATCTCCATCATTCTGGGGTTCCTGCATTGTTTCTATTTCTTATTCTATGTTTTTCCTCTTAGTTTATTTCTCTTTGGTGAGACATTATCCAGTGGCTTCCTGAGAAATGGTGCATGGAAGTTGAATTTTTAAAATCATGAATATCTGGAAATATTTTTATCCCACTTTTATACTTATTTAATAGGTTCATTAGGTATAGAATTCTTGGTTAGGAACAGTTTTCCTTTGGAAATTTCAAAGGTATTGTTCTACTGCCTTCCAGCTTCCATTGTTGGTGTTGGAATTTTTGTGACACTCTTATTTCCAATTCTGGTATGTAGTTTATCTGTGTTATCTTTTCACTGGAAGTTTTTGAGTCTTATCTATGTTCTTACACTTAGATTTCTTGATGTGCTTTTGTGCTTATTCCCCCATTGTGCTGATTAATTCAGTGGATTTTTTTGTTCTACAAATTAATAACTTTTCAATTCTGGGAAATTTTATTGAATTATTTCCTTTTTTTTTTTTTTGAGACAGGAGCCTCAAGCTGTCCCCCTGGGTAGAGTGCCGTGGCATCTCAGCTCACAGCAACCTCCCACTCCTGGGCTCAAGCGAGTCTCCTGCCTCAGCCTCCCAAGTAGCTGGGACCACAGGCGCCCGCCACAACGCCCGGCTAATTTTTGGTTGCAGCCGTCATTGTTGTTTGGCAGGCCAGATTTGAACCTGCCACCTTGGGTGTACGTGGCTGGCGCCTTAGCCACTTGAGCCATAGGCGCCGAGCCTGAATTATTTCTTGATGAATTATCTGCTTCATTTTCTCTGTTCTCTCAAATCTATTATCTCCAGCCTCAATTCATTTATTGAGTACCTATGATATGCCAGGAGGTTCCTGTGTTACAACAGTGATAAGGTTAACAAAGTTCCTGCACTTATGGAATTTTTATTAGAGTGGAGAGTGACAAGCAATAAGTTAAAATAATAAAATAATAATTAGCACTATGCAAAGAACTAAAATAGGACTGTGACAGATAATGACCTGGTATCTACTTTATGATGGGTGATCAGAAAGGGATTCTTTGAGAAGATGGCTTTGAAGTTGAAATCTGAATGGTGAGAGAAGTCTAAGATCACACCAGCCAGAAAGAATGGCAAAGTTCTAAGACAGGGACAAGCTGGGTGCAGAAAGATCGTGTCTAGAATGTGGTTATGAGCGAGCAAAGCCATAGAGACGAAGGTGGAGAGGAAAGCAGAGACAAATCACGTGGGGTTTTATGGACTATGCTTAAAAGTTTGGATTTTTTTCCTAAGTACTACTGAAGTGTTATAACCAGAGGAGTAATGCTGCAATTCAGTAAGCAAATATTGAGTACCTATTATTTGCCAGGCATTGTTCTTGGCAACTTGGAATGCATTTTTTTTTTAAAGTTCCTTTTCTGTAGGATCTTATGTTCTAGAGGAGAGAGATAATAAAAATAAACAGAGCAAATACAAAATGTATAGTATGTTTAAAACTGCAACAGACAAAAATAAAATGTAATTACATTTTAATGGTATCTAGTTGGAAGAAGGAAGAAGTCAAGATGGCTGACTAGATGAAGCTAGTACGTTCTTCCTCTATGGAGAGGAACCAAAATAGTAAGTAGATGTTCACACTTTGAATAGATTGTCTAAGAGAAAACACTGGAATTCAACAGAGAAATGATGAGGAGCACCAAAGCAAGTAAGGAGAACGAAGAGAGGTGATTTGGTTGGCTGGCAGCTGGGAAAAGCTCTGGATGTGAGAAAAGGGTGAAAGAAGAAAACACCCAGGACTCCACACTCCCTCCTTGGATTTTCATTTGGGTTATTTAAATATGAAATGTTCAATCATGAATCAAAAGTTTATTATATCTCAGGAACCAGTACAATTAAAGTATGAGCCCAAACCAACAACATAGTTTTGCCATCTTAATGGTAGCTTGTTTATGCTAGTAGCAAAGAAGCCTGGAGTGTGAGTGGTGATGAAATTGCAAAAGACATTTTCCACAGCTTGTTCAGAATTGAGTATTTTTCCTTGCAAGAAATGTTCCAAAGCTTGGAAGAAGTGGTAGTCAGTTGGTGGGAAGTCTAGTGAATATAGTAAATGACAGTTTCCAATTTCATCCTCTATAGTTTGAGCAGCATTGTTTGTGTGACATGTGGGCAAGCATTGTCTTGAAAGAGGTTTGGCCTGTCTCTGTTGGCCAGTCTTGGCTGCTTAATTGCAAGCATCCTCATCATTTCATCCAGTTGGTTGCATTAAACAATCATAGTAATTGATGGACCAGGTGTCATGAAGCTGTAGTGGATACTACCAGTGCTAGATCACCAAACAGATGCCATTAGC